AGTGAACCACAGGCCAGCCGCGGCCCGCCACCCCCGCGCTGGGACCCGGTCGCTGTCTCTGCGGCGTTGCCACGTTGTAGTTATTTTGCTCCGCGGCGTGGAAGATCAGCGGCAACGATAGTCTAGGCCTCCCCAATGGGGTCCGAGTAGATGGGATCGGAGGGTCGCGCCGCATCGATGTTGAGCCCAATTTTCTCCACGCCGGCGTCGCGGGATACATCGCCGACGTCGCCGATGCATCGCCGATGTATAGTCGGTGTGTCGGCGATGCACTGTCGATGCAGCGCGATCCTCCGACCTCATCTACTCGGACCCCATCCAGGAGGCCTCTAAATGGGGAAGGGACAGGACAGGACAGGACAGCGGCCAGTAGGGAGGCGGCGCGGGTCCTCCTCCCTGGCAGTAAGCTGGGCCGAAAGATTATGCAGCGTAGATTGCAAGATTGGGTGGCACATTGCGCCAGCTGATCAGGGCAGGGGGGGAGGAAGAGGAGCTGGTGGAGGAAGAGAGGCAGCAACTCTTGTTCAGGAGCCCAACGGCAGGGGGGACAGGCTCGGGTGGGAACGCATCGACACCCCATCGCCGATGTGTCTTCGCCAGGGGCCTGGCATCCCGCCCCGCCCAAGAACTGGTGATTTCGCTATCGTGGAGTCTATCGCAGATCTATCGGCGACGTATCGCCGATTCAAGCTCGATGTTTCCCCCCCTCTGAGCTGGCCCCAACCACCCCGTATCGTTCCCCCTCAAGAGGAGGAGTCGGCAAGCAGGTTGGAGCTGAAGCCGGCGTCACCACTCATAGCTGCACGATGGGCGGTCGTCTCGGGTGGGCGGTCTGCTGTCCAGCACGAATGTGTCCCCGATCAGTTCTTGTCCACCGAAAGCGTCTCGATTACTGTTCGTGGGCCCACCATCGGATTTTCTCGGCAACGGTAGCCTCGATACTGTCCAGCGAGGGGTTGTCCGGTTAGTGTTCCATGATGAGTTTAATTGGACAGGGTCTTGCGAGGCAAGGAGCAGTAGGGAATTCGGTGCTCGAAGGCGTTGAAGGCTAAACGTTGCGAGCTCTTCTAGGTTATGCAGATTATTTAACTAATGAGAATGCCACGGGTACTCTTGCGGAAGCGAAAGCGGAGTAACCCTTTCGATAGGTCAGTGAGCCACCAGATGTTGTCCCACAACGTCTATGCACGTGCTAATGGGAGACGAATTTGGACGCGTTGGCCTCATGCTGCGCGAAATATGTAGGAAGAGAAATCATCTCTCAATCATCAGCGCCTTTTGCATCTTAATGTCAGGCCGCACATGTTCACTTGACTTTCGCATGCGATAGAAAGCGCGTATGGCCTACGTCGTCCTTAGACCATCTCGCACAGTCCATGTTGTGCGGTCCTATGTATTGCCTGTTGTGCCTTCTACCCGAGTTGCCTTATTATTCTCTGGTCACCAACGACTTTCATCTATCGTGGGCCCTTGTAAGCACTCGTGGGCACCATTGGGGCATGCTATTTGTGGACATATAATTCCCATCGGGTAATGTTTGGCAGTCTTAGAGGCACGTTGAAGCTCGTTGGGTTTATCGAGCGCCAGGGGCCACCGAGGTCTGGTAAATCACCACGTGGGCGCACAGCCTCGGCGTTGCCGTGCGGCCTCCCTGGAGACGAAAAGTGTGGCTGCATGCGCACATCGAATGCCAAGAGCCGAAGGTGCACACATGTCGCCGCTGCATGTAGTTAGCGACCCGAAGCCATGGTAAATCGACAGGTGCGCGCCTAGCCCTGGCGGTTCCGCGCTACTCCGATGCGTACGAGCGTTTGACCGCATGCGCGTGCCACATCTCGAATGCGCACCACGAGAAACACTGTAGTGCCACAGCAAGGCGCAGCCAGCAGGCCCAAACCCTGGAACACTGCAGGCAGTTCTGGCATTCTTCCACGACTTTCTCGGAGGTGAATGTCCGGCATCAAGAGTCTGAGATATTGGCTTGGTTTTCTTGCGCAGTCAATGAGCCCAAGCTGTACAGAATTCCCAGGGACCTGCTTGCTTGAATACTGTAATGGCCTCTGGCCAGAGCCGCCGATCTGGGGCGTTCCCGTCAATGTCGGAGCTTCTGGCGACGAAGACGACGACCGACGAATGTCGATGGAATATCGACGACGACCACTGACCACCGACGATAACTAGGACGACTGACGACGACGATGGACGATTCACTGCGAGCGACGACGCCCAGCGACGACGACCGATGACGACGATGACAATCTGGAGCAACGAACGACGAGGGCAGAGGCCGGGGTCAAGCCTGAGGCTGGGGCCGAGGCCAGGGCCGGGCCGGGGGCCGGGGCCGGTGGGGGCCAGGACTAAGGCCGTATAAACCTGCAGTGTCGCGGCAGCGACGGGGTTGTTGCTGGCCGGGGCGGGGTCCCCCGGGCCGGGGCCAGGCCCGGAGGTGGGCCCGGGGCCCAGAAGGGCCGAGCCCAGGGGCCAGCAGAGCCGGCCAGGGCTGGGCCAGGGCCGGGGCTGGGGCCAGGCGGCGGGGGCAGGGGCCCGTGCCCGAGCCAGGGCCGGGGTCGGAGCCGGGCCGGGCCAGATTGTTTGGCCCGGGCCGGGGTTGTGAGTTGGGCGCCGGCTCGGGGCCGCGGCCCTGGCCGGTGCTCAAGCGGATTGGAAACACCGCGCCGGTTCTTGTAGCTGGGGGGCCCAGCGGGAGCCAAGCGGTGACGGGCCGCCCAGGTGGCAATGCGACCTAACGCATCCTCCTCCACTCCTTCTTCTCCTATCCCGTGCCTTCCTCGTCGTGGATGGGGCCGACGAATGGTCTCGCGCTGTCCGTGAGGACGCACCTTTTTCTAGTGCAGCCTGTGACCGGGGTGAGTCTTGTTGGTCCACAGGCACTGCCCCGGTCACGGGCTGCAGCGGCTTTGGGTATTTTCCGGAACCTCGAGGCTCCGAGCCTGGTGACACACATAATTTTACATATAATATATCATACACGCGTCCTTATTGCGGTTCGCAGCCGTGTTCTGAGATGTGTGTATATGTGTAAACATGTGCGTATAATACATACATCACGATTGGTGCATACATATTTCCTGTTGGATTTTGAAGATTCCTGCTCTAGGGGACCCTCCGGGAAGTCCTCGTGGAGCCTTCTTGGGGCGTCTTGGAGGCCTCTGGAACCGTCTTGAAGCCATGCTGGGCGTTCTGGAACGATCTGAGGCTGTCTGGGGAGCCTCTTGGATTGTCTTGGGGTTGGAAGGAAGAAACCAATGGGACGACAGCCTCTCCAACTGGGGGGGGCGCTCCCCCCCCAGGAGCCTTAATATCCCCGGGGCCCGCGTCTGGGATCCCCCCTTTCGAATCAACGACGCCAGTGTTGGATGCCTTTTGAGCTGACGTGCCCGAGGAGGAGAGGTGACCACAGAGGGGAGGGGAAAGAAGGTGAAAACCACGGAAACGCGAATCCACGGACACGCGAAACCGTCTTCCCCTCACGCACGCCGACAGGGTCGGCAGATTTGAACTGCAATTTATTGTTGGTGTCAGGGATCGGTCAGAGTCCTGCAGGGCGCATTCGTTTCAAGGGGCGCGGGGATGCCAGGGCAGCGCCCTGCAGCGCTCAAGCGCCCACACTGGCACGCACGCACGCGCATCAATGCGCGAATGGAATTCCAGACGCACGCGAGCTCAGGACGGCAGTGAAATACAGGAAACAGAAAATTACAGCCAGAGCGCAGTATCCCCAAACAGCGTTTTTAGAGCCAGGGTGGATCCTGAGTCTGTTTGCGCGTCCTGCAGTTATCGTCCTCCTGCTCTTGATCGGCACGCCCCGTCGTCATCGTCGTCTACGTGCTCCTCTTGGGAAATATCATTCTCGCCTCTCCCGCCTGCCTTCCCACTCCACCTCTTTCTCCCCCTTCTAGTCACATTCCTCCTCCTACCCTCCTGTCCTTCCTCCTCATCGTTATCCTCCCCATATTCCTGATGCCCTGCTTCCGCCTCTTCCCATACATCCCCGCCCCACTTCACATTATCCTCATCCTCCTGGTTCTCTTTCTCTTCTGCCTCATCGTCGTCACCGCGGTGTTGCGTTCTGTGCCGCTGTGCGATGCCATGTTTTGCGTTGCAATGCTTTGTGATGCGATGCTTCACTACGCAATGCCACACCATGCTATGACATGCGAATTACGCTGTGCCGTGCTCCTCTACGCCGTGCTATGCCGTGCTCTACCATGCATCGCGTACCCTCCTCCGCCTCCAGGCCTTGGAAGGCCGAGGCGACGACGACAACGACGACGACAATCGCGCAATCACGCAATCCCGACGACGACCACGACGACGACGACAACGACGACGACGACGACGAGCAGCAGCAGCGGCAGGTGGACGGGCGGGGAGCCGCCGGGGAGGCGGGTCGCTCAGGCAGGGCCGACGCGCCCCCGACGGAGCCCGCGCCCGCGGAGGGGCGCGCCGCGGGGTGCCCCGTTCAGCACCCCGTTCAGCACCCCGGTGGGCGAGACTGGGGGCCGGCCCACCTCGCGATCGGCAGCTTGGAGCCCGGAGTTGCGAGGACGTCTCAGGCGAAACGGCCCGGACGAACTCTCGCGGCGGCAGCTCGGAGCCCAGAGTTCCGAGGATGTCTCAGGCGAAACGGGCCAGACCACCTCGCGCGCGGCAGCTCGGAGCTCAGATGCAGGAGGATGTCTCAGGCGAAACGCCTAATCCCGGACAGATCAGAAACGAGAGTTGTGAGGATGTCTCAGGCGAAATGGCCCGAACCACCAGATTTTGCTGAGGACGTCTTCGCTTGGAATTAATTCCCTCGGCCGGAGCCAGCTTCTACCACAACAGCACCCCGTTCAGCAAGCTGTTTGGGGAACGAACGGAAGCAGCAGCAGCGGAAGGAGCAGGGGGGGGAGCAGCAGCAGCAGCAGCAGCAGCAGCAGCAGCAGCAGCAGCAACAGAAGGAGCAGTAACAGGTAGAGAGGAGAGTGGATAAGAAGGCTGAGGACGAGGACGATGAGTACGAGTACGAGTACAAGTACGAGGACGAGGACGAGAGCGAGTACGGAGCGAGGCAAATAAGAGCGATAGTGAACAGGAAAGAAACGGAAAGAAAGACAAGGCGGGAGAGGGGGGAGGGAGAAGGAAGGTTCTCCCAGCTGTTCCCGGAGGGGGGAGAATCCCCCCCCCCCGGGGGCACTCCGGACCTGTCTGGAGTGTCCTACACCTTGAAAACACGATGATTGGGAATGTCCTACGGAAGCCCCCAGCTCCAAGGACACCGTCTTCCCCCCACGACGGGCCCCCAAGGACACTCCGGACCTGTCTGGAGTGCCCCCCGGGGGGGGGATTTCCCCCCCTGCGGGACAGTCAGAGGAGGCCTCAGAGCGCACCGCCGCAAGCAGTCATAGCATCACATCACCTCCCTTCATCCTCAACTCCCCCTTCCCTTTCCGACTATCCATCCCCGTCTGCCTCGTACTCGGACTCATCGTCCTCGTCCTCAGCCTTCTTATCCCCTCCCTGTACCTTTTCCTGCTCCTTCTGCTGCGGCTGCTGCTGCTCCCCCTCCTCCGGCTCCTTCTGCTGCTGCTGCTGCTGCTGCTGCTCCTGTTTTTTTGCGTTTCCTGTATTTCAGTGCCCCCCCTGAGCTCCCAGGCGTCTGGAACTCCATTCGCGCATTGATGCGCGCGCGCGCCAGTGTGGGCGCATTGATGCGCGCGCGAGCGTGCAGGGCGCTGCCCTGGCATCCCCGCTCCCCTTGAAACGAATGCGCCCCGCAGGACTCTGACCGATCCCTGACACCAACAGTAAATTGCAGTTAAAATCCGCCGACCCTGTCGGCGTGCGTGAGAGGAAGACGGCTTCGCGTGTCCGCGGATTCGCGTTTCTGCGGCTTTCACCTTCTCCCCCCCCCTCTGTGGTCACCTTTCCTCCTCGGGCACGTCAGCTCAATTATAGCTAGAGCGCATTATCCCCAAACGGCGTTTTTAGAGCCAGGGTGGATCCTGAGTCTGTTCGCGCGTCCTGCAGTTATCGCCCTCCTGCTCTTGATCGGCATGCCCCGTCGTCATCGTCGTTCACGTGCTCCTCTTGGGAAATATCATTATCGCCTCTCCCGCCTGCCTTCCCACTCCACCTCTTTCCCCCCCTTCTAGTCACATTCCTCCTCCTACCCTCCTTTCCTTCCTCCTCGTCGCTATCCCCCTCATATCCCTGATGCCCTGCCTCCGCCTCCTCTGATACATCCTCGCCCCACTTCGCATTATCCTCCTCATCATCCTGGTTCTCTTTCTCTTCTGCCTCATCGTCGTCATCGCGGCGTTGCGTTGGGCGCCGCTGTGCGATGCCATGTTTTGCGTTGCAACGCTTTGTGACGCAATGCTTCACTACGCAATGCCACACCATGCTATGACATGCTAACTCATGACGCTTCGCGCATCCCCACCAGCCCATCTTACACCAGGCACTCGAACGAAGAGCGCCGATGATCGGCAGCTGTTCTTCTCCCCCTCTTCCTCCTTCTCCTCCGCCTTCTTCCTCCTCCTCCTCTCCTCCTCCCTCTCCTCCTCCTCTTCCTCCTCCTCCTCTTCCTCCGCCTCTTCCTCCTCCCTGGTGGCGTCTTGGAGGTATCTTCGAACGGTTTGGTGGGCTCTTGGGCCTTGCGGGCGGGCGGGCGGCGCTCCGCCCGCCCGCGCGCAGGGCCCAAGAGGAGAGTCCAAGACGGTTGCTCGTACATGTGTTTTCGCAGTATTCTGGGCTTCGCGTCCCGCGCGAGCCCTCGATTGAATTTATTTTGAAGCAGTTGTTGGGCGTCTGGGGCCCTTGTAGACGCCATCGGGGCGCTCTGGGGGGGCATATTGGAGCAAATGTATCAAAAAAAGAGCAGAGCTTTAATTAGCGTTGCCCCTCCAGACTGTCTAAAATCGCTTCCTGGACCCCTCTTGGATCGCTCTTGGAGCGCGCTTGGACGCTGTTGAGGCAGTCATGAGGCTCTCTTGGGCCCCTGTTGGGGGCCAGTTGGGACATCTCGGCGCCATCTTGAGGCCTCGGATGGGCTTCGGAAGCGAAAAAGTGAGAACACCAAAAACATTGATTTCCCCTAGGGATTTGAAGCATTTCGGCCTTTCGAGGGCACCCTAATGATGCTCTTGTGGGCACTTGGAACCATCTTGGAGCGGTCTTGGAACGTGTTGGAGCGTCTTCTGAACCATCTTCAGGCATCTTGCGCTATCATGAGCCATCTTGGAGGCGATCTTGGGCTCTCTGAGGCCCTCTTGGAGCCGTCCTGGGCCATCTTGGACGCTCTGACCGCTCCCCGCCCCTCCTGTCCAGGTCAACGGGGAGGGGGTAGGGGGAGGGGTAAACCCCTCCCCGAAGGGGAAGAGGGAGGGGTGGAAGAGGAAACGCCCTAAACCACCGACGCCCAGAGGGCTGGTGGGATTACGCTCTGCCGTGCTCCTCTACGCCGTGCTATGCCGTGCTCTACCATGCATCGCGTGCCCTCCTCCGCCTCCAGGCCTTGGAAGGCCGAGGCGACGACGACAACGACGACGACAATCACGCAATCACGCAATCACGACGACGACGACGACGACGACGACGACGACGACGACGACAAGCAGCAGCAGGAGGAGGAGGACGGGCGGGGAGCCGCCGGAGAGGCGGGTCGCTCAGGCAGGGCCCGCGCACCCCCGACGGAGCCCGCGGGGCGCGCCGCGGGGCGCCCCGTTCAGCACCCCGTTCAGCACCCCGCCGGGCGAGACTGGGGGCCGGCTCACCTCGCGATCGGCAGTTCGGAGCTTGGAGTTGCGAGGACGTCTCAGGCGAAACGGCCCAGACGAACTCTCGCGCGGCAGCTCGGAGCCCAGAGTTTCGAGGATGTCTCAGGCGAAACGGGCCGGACCACCTCGCGCGCGGCAGCTCGGAGCTCAGATTCAGGAGAGTGTCTCAGGCGAAACGCCCAATCCCGGACAACTCAGAAACGAGAGTTGTGAGGATGTGTCAGGCGAAACGGCCCGAACCACCAAATTTTGTCGAGGACGCCTTTGCTTTGAATTCCTTCGGCCGGAGTTAGCTTCTACCACAACGGCACCCCGTTCAGCAAGCTCTTTGGGGAAAAAGCATCCAGCACTGGCATCGTTGATTCGGAATGGGGGGTCCCAGGGGCGGGCCCCGGGGGGGGTTAAGGGGGGGCTCCCAGCGGGGGGCACCCCCACACGGGGAGAAGCTCTCGTCCATTTGACTTTTTCCTTCCAACCCCAAGACAAGAGGTTCCCCAGACAGCCTCAAATCGTTCCAAAACGCTCAATCTGGCTTCAAGACGGTTCCAGGCTTCGAAGACGCCCAAAGAAGGCTCCAAGAGGACTTCCCAGAGGGTCCCCTACAGCAGCAATCCTCGAAATCCTGCATGAAATATGTGTGCGCCAATCGTGATGTATGTACACACATGTTTACACATACGCGCACATCTCAGAACACAGCTGCGACCCGCAATAAGAACGCGCGTGTGATATGTCGTATGTAAAATTATGTGCGTCGCCCGGCTCGAAACCTCGAGGTTCCGAAAAGGGGCCCAGCGCCGTTGCAGCCTGCGGGCGCGGCACTTCTTGGGGACCAAGAATTACCCCGGCCGCAGGCTGCAGTAGAAACAAATGCTTCCTCACAAACAGCGCAAGACCATTCGTCGGGCCCATCCACAACGAGAAAGGCACGGGATGGGAAAAGGAGGAGTGTAGGAGGATGCGCCAGGTCGCATTGCCGCTTGGGCCCCGACACGGCCTGACTCCCGCTGAGCCCCCAACTACAAAAACCGGCGCGGTGTTTCCAATCCGCTTGAGCACCGGCCAGGGCCAGGGCCGAGGCCGGGGCCAGGGCTGTGGCTGATCGAGGCCGGGCCCAGGGCCAGGAGCCAGGCTCGGAACCGGGGACTGGGCTGGGGCCCGGGCCCGGAGCCCAGAAAAACGGAACACGGGGACCCCCCTTTGCAGAGCAAGCTCAAGACAAGTTCGAGTCCACGCTTGTAGAATCTCACGCTCTGGATCTGCGGATTACGCAGGCGGGTTCACGCAGGAGCCTTGGAAACGGGCAGCGCAGTATTGTTGGCACTCCACCGATTCCCAAAAGTGTTGTTCTTCATCTTCGGAATTGAGCAGGCAGTGGACCTAAGCCCACCCGCATCACCGGGCGCACGTAAACTCAGGAGGTCATTAGTTTTAATCCCCTCCCTTTTTTTTCCCTCGGTGGTGAATAGGACTGGTCGTGAAACCTTCTCATCCTCCCGCCTCCTCCTCCTCCTCCTCCTCCGCCTCCACTTCCTTAGGACTGACAAGGGGAGGCAAAAGCATTGCTGATATTACAAGTGCGATGTCAATTTTTATGTCAATATTATTATGACTCTGACTATCACAGTTCTTACTACACCTAGGGAGGAGGACAGGAGGAGGAGTATAGTGACAGCTACAACAACAACAGCAACAAACATTTAGTATTGCTCCTACGACTACTTCGACTACTACGACTACTTCTGCTACTGGTTCTACACTACGAACTACTATTGTTAGTACTACTACGACGATTACTAGTAGTAGTAGTAGTAGTAGTAGTACTACTACTACTACTACCATGACTACTACCACTACTACTACTACTACTACTACTACTACTACTACTACTACTACTAGTACTATCAGTACTACTACTACTACTACGACTACGACTACGACTACTACTACTACTACTACTACTACTACTACTACTACTACTACGACTACTACTACTACTACTACTAATAATAATATTATTCGCATTACTACTACTACTACTACTACTACTACTACTACTACTACTACTACTATTACTACTACTACTACTACTTGTACTACTTCCACTACTACTACCACTACTACTACTCCTACTACTACCACTTTTACGTTTACCGTATACTGCCACTACTACTACGGCTACTACTACGAATGCTACTTCTACGACTTCGGCTAGTACTGCTGCTACCACTACTACGACTGCACCTACGACGGCTACTACTACCACTATTATTATTATTACAACTGTGAC